TGCTCAAATTTATTTTGAATGGATAATTATTGATTGCGATACTTTTGCAATTTATTTAAGGCAAGGAAAAACGACCGCAAAAAAACGTCGAAGTCCATAGCAACGGCATCCCTTGGCTGTACGATCAAGAGGAGAAAATGTAGTGCGAAAGAAGAAGAGCGTGGCGAGAAAGAAAAAAGGACCTATCGATTTGATAACATCAGAAGACGAGGAACCAACAGAAGCAGCAGTAGAAGGAGATACAAAGGAGATTGGTGATGATCCGAAAGATATGAGTTTGCAAGGCAATGCAGATGCAGCAGTAGATGATGATCCTCCACTCAATATTCAAGCTATGCATGTGCCTATTCCACTTCCTGCTACTGTAACTGTAAACAGAACTATTTCATCTCTCTATGATCACGATGCAGATGCAGAAGAAGAAGAAAATAATGGTATATGGTAGTATGCTATCAAGAAACCAAACTTTTTGGCTCAATGCAAGAAATATGGCGTGAATATTTCACGAAAACACTACAATACAACTGGTATTAGGCGCCATGTTGCTATCTGTCAGAAAATACCCGAATTTCGATCCAAGAAACAAATGACAAAATCTGCATCTACAAAGAAAAGTTCGATGTCAGCAGATGAAATTAAAGAACTTCACAAAGAGGGTATTCGTGCTATAATTAAGGATTCTCGTGGATTCGGTGATTTAACCAAGGATGGAATGAAACATTATATTCAAAAGCTTCGTCCTGGTTATTCTCCGCCGTCTCGACAATATGTTGCCCGTCATCTCAAGAAAATGGTCATGCAATATTCTCGTAGTCAACGTGAAGAACTCACCCATGTCGATCACATAAACGTTACCACTGAATTGAACGCTACAATTGAACAAATATCGAAATATCCGAAAAACTTTGAAAAATTAAATTTTTTCCGAGGATACTTTTGAAGTTTGAACTCCATTTTGAAAGTGATAAGAAGAAGATCGCATGTCATATGCTAGGACGTTTAGATGTCCTTTTTCAGATGGCGCAAGACTCATTTCATCGCCATCGGTCTGATGTGGTAAAAATGGCTAGTTAATAATTTATGACCTTTTCTGAACAAAAAGCGCTTGTTCAAGCATCTCGATTATTCAGAAAAGTTACATCAAGCGTTTAGCACACAACTCGCGTAGACCAAACATTTGCCTTCAAAATGACGCAAGAATGAGCCTGGTTTTGGTTTAGCAATCCTCATTTTACAAATTGCCCCAATATGCCGGTTGGAAAAGCTGAGAAAACGGTCATAGGGCTTTTACAGAAAAACATTGCTGGAAACACAGAAGTAACGATAGAAAATCCGCATTACAGCTAATCGGCAGAGAATTTTAAGGGCTACACTTTGGCCTACTTGCTTTATACACAACGCATACGTTCAACTTTATACTGACGAAATACACTCTTTTGTGTTACTTTTTCAAACGTTTTAGGACATGTCGATATTTGTTCAATTCAGGTAGCGAAAAACTCAAAATAAAAACTACGCCATTCTTTATGTAACACCCGTTAGTTTAAAGAAAATAAGTCTTTTTCTTCTGAAATTTCACTTTTTAACATTGTCTTGTAACGTCAGACTCACTTGTGACAAACGGTCTATAATTTCTGAGGAGAACAGTATCAAGACTTACATTTTTGCATTAAAAACCGGTCTTTATGTCTACTGAGTATGGTAAAGATTTCAGCTCAATTAATATGCCTCACTCTCTCAGACAATTGCTCTTTTAATTGCCGGTTCACTCATCTTTCTGTCCTTGTAATATGTAGATAATTCTTCGTACTGATCAGTGAATATCTGTTGTGGATAAGTCAGCTGAATAATGAAGCAAGTTATAAAATCATCGTCATTTATTTACGATGAAAGTGTCTCAAGTGGCATTTCATTTTTCATTTGAAAAATATGGTTTTTCTATGTTATCGATGATCCTAATCACCAATGTGAACTTTGCTTGAGCTGTTAGTGGGGTTTCGTAGGGTTCCCATTTACTACTAAAACGAATTACCTTTACCAAATTTCCCTTTTGACAGATTATGTGTAATCGTTTCGGATTTATTACATTTGTTATTAAGTTGTATTAACAGATGTATAACGAATTTCGTGATGTTCTTTCCAGAAGTTGGACGACGGTCATAATTAGAACATTTAATTGTAATATGATCTGTTTGATGGTATTTTAAATAACGATGACATTTTGTTTCAGCTAATAACCTGTGTTTTGACTGTTGAATTTAAGAAAATGAAAGTTTTGATTAAATGTGAACTATTATTTTAGAGCTAGTCAGTAAATAACATATGTACATACTTGAACGCATTCTTTATAAACATTTTGGCCATTCATCGATTGCATGCATTTGTGAAACCCTGCAACCTTTTGTCGAGATATTGAACATTTTGGAGTTATGGATGCTGCCGATGAGCTACGTTGGGAAACAAATAACAATTAACACACGAAATCATGCAAGCACTCCATCGTAACAGCTGTTCGAAAACAATCTAATCAAAATTTTATTGATACGTGCTTATTGCACTTTACGTGGCTAACGGCGCAACAAATAGGTACGAGGGTATAACTTCTCCAAATAATAACAAGTTGGATCTCCTCCTAGCAGAAAAAAAAGCATTTTCGGTCTTTATTGGTCGCACAGCAAAAAGATTTTTATGTATCATGAAAAGAAGTACATTCATTTAGAAAATATATTCATCTCATACAGAGAAGAAACAAAAATACTTTAGTCTACACGTGACATAGAATCTTTTTTCTCTTCTTCTTATTCAGATAACAATGATGTATGATAATCGTTACGATACTCAAACTTTTCTTTTCCGCAAATATAGCTGTATCTTTCAACAACTTTCAACAACTATATTTGCGGAAAAGAAAAGTTTGAGTATCGTAATGATCATCATACGTCATTGTTATCTGAGTAAGAAGAAGAAGAGAAAAAAGATTCTATGTCACGTATAGACTAAAGTATTTTTGTTTCTTCTCTGTATGATCTGAATATATGTATACATGTACGAGAGTGTAGCTCCTTCAGTTTGGATCTTCTCCTAGCAGAAATAAAGTCTTTTTCGCTCATTATTGGTCGCACAGCAAAAAGCTTTTTTGTGTCGTGAAAAGAACTTTTTCGCTGTACAAAAAAAAATTTTTAGTGCCTACTCCTGGTTGAGTTCCTGTTTGCGGCTCTGATGACTAATCCTGAAGCCAGGAAATCATGGCAAGCAAGCTTAACAGTCAGACATTGCCTAAGAAAGTCAGTCAGTGATAGACAGATCGAGCTAAACTTTTACCATAGACAGCCGTCAGAAGAGGGGAAATTGAGCCTTTTTATAACATTTAGACTTCGAAGTATATAATGTCTTACCAAATGTAGAGATTGGTATTAATCAAGACGATCAGCTCGACGACAAATAATAATACCAGTTTCATGAATTAAAGCAGCTAAAAGTATTTATCTGTAAAATATAACACGTAAGTTTATGTAAATGAATTATTCATACAACACTATAACCGATGTATTACAGCGTTACTTTTTTGCAAAAATGGTTTGAAAAGTCTTCTAATACTAAGTTAGAGACATGTGGGAAAAATTTCATCCGACAGACAATTAGTAATCCATTAAAACTGGATCTAAGGAAACTCTTAGAATCTCTTCTCGTGAAATTTAGTAGATATTCATATCATTGACGTAGACAATAAAACACAATTTCGACAATGTCTAGGCAAACGGGAATGCAGCATAGAAGTTTGTATATGAGCTGATTGCGCTGGTATTGTACGGTTTGACTAAAAAAAGTCAACAAAATAAACTTGCTTGGAAATTTTTTTCTTTAGTCGGACTATATACTAGTATCATCAGGGATCACGAAATAAAA